GTGTGAGGAGGTTATTCTGCAGGACAGCTTTCTCTCTCTCTCTCTCGCTGTTCATGGCCCACATAAAACCCAAATCAGTGCTGAGGTCTCATTAAGGCCCAAACCATGATCTTGAAAGTGGATTTGAGCTTGTTTATTTCTTTTCTAGTCTTCTGACTACTCAAAGCATTTTTACACCGCAGGTCACACATACACATTCACACACTGAGAGGCTGCTATGTGAGGAGCCCATCAGCTGCCGAAGCAGCTTGACAAATTGGGGTTTAGTGTCTTGCCCAAGGACACATCTGACATGTAGCTGCAGGAGCTGGGTATTGAACCCCCGACCTTCCGGTTGAGAGAAGACCGACTATACCAACTGAGCCTCAGCCGCCTCTTGTAGATGCCTTCTCCTCATGTAAAATGGTTTTAATTTGATGAGGTCAAGCCATTAATGCTACTTGCTTTGGTTAACCTTTTGGAACTATACTGTTATAAAACCTACAAAATATTTTTTTCAAGCGTTACGCATAAATTAGCATAATTAGTGGCATAGCTGAGTTGACTAACAGGTGGTTGTCGCTATAAGCCAGGAGGCCTAAGGCCCACCTCATCTCGACCTCTTTGCCTGTTTCTAGGTTGATCAGAAGTTAGACTGAGAAAGATTTTTCAATATGACGGCCGCCATTGTTAGGCCTCACAATGCATCATCTAAAACAAATGGATGACTTGACTGAGACAGCATCCGTGTTTTATACAGTCTATGGTATCTGTGGTTTCATTATCAGTATAGAAACTCAGGTTGCAAGAAAAAGCTGACCCTGCACCTAAACATTGTGCAAAAGAAATGGTAAATAATATGACTCCATTTCCCCCAGAGAGAGAGAAGGAAGGCAAGGAGGATTAGAAATCCAGGGAGAGAAGAGAACGAGGGAGACAGAGACAGAGTGAAAATAGCTGTCTGGGTCCCTGAAGGTTGGCCAGTTATTATAAAGCCATTGTGGTTGGTGTGTACGTTTCCACAGATCCTTCTGAGTCACGCTCAATAAGTCAGCCCTTATGGGCCCTGGCACTGTTAGGACCCAGGGAGGGAGGGAGGGAGGCGGGATAAGGGTACGCAGGCACCTGGCTCACATCCTTAACCCACTGCCTCTTCCTCCTCCTCCTACTCTCAACACACACTAAACTCTGAAAGAGTACACAGAGAGGAGACACAGACACTGTCGTCCCATTCACAAGCCCTCTGCGGGGTGATTCCTGGCCAAACAAGGAAGTTAAAGCCAGGTGGGCGGAAGGGCAGGATGGACAGAATGATGGAGCGGGCAGGCAGAACAAAAGGCGGGTGGATGACTGTAGGCAGGGCACAATGGGGGTAATGATGGGTAGGTGAAATGATGAATAAGAGAGAGAGAGAGAGCCTGAGAGTGATAGTGAGGGAGAGAGAGAGAGAGAGAGAGAGAGAGAGAGAGAGAGAGACTGTGAGGGGTGTAATGAGAGGGTCAGTGTTGGGTATGCATGACCTGAACTGGGATACTGGGCCAATTCATATAACTGCTGCTAAAAATAGGTTTCTGTGCAGCAGAAGTACAACAGCGCTCAGACTGCTCCCACAGTGCTCGGGCTCTCAATTTACCAGCAACACATACACAGCAAACAACACATGCTTGTGACCAATCACTCAAAGCAATGGCCCCTTAAAAACATTTCACCCCAGATCAATCTATAGAACTAAAACTCAGGGGGTTGTTCATGGTTGGTACTCGTGTTCATTTTGGAAATCTGAGGCTACAAGTCATTAACTTAGAGATAAGGCTGCATGCAGGATTTAAACTTTTTTTTCATCTCCATTTCTTGTGCACGCCCGCCTCATTCTTCTTCTTTCTTTTCTTTGTTACATTCAGACAGTATCCAGGTTCATTTGAGAAAGTCTAGACACCAAAAACTGCTAAATCCAAGCCTCCAAGATAAACTTAAAGTTGAAAGTTGAAGGCACCATATTGCGGCTAATTGTGCAAGGCGTCAAAAAAAAAAAAAAAAAAAGGCTGCGGCAAGAACGAAGAATTAAACACTCAAAAAAAATCTACTTCCAAAGCAGAGACATGCATTCAACTATTTACACTTTCCAAAAAACTTTGAATATTAGCACTTGTACAATCAAATCAGAATGTGGGATTGAAGGTGTTGCATTTAGTTGCCTTGTCTGTGTAGGTTCTCAGTCATTCAGATCATGGTAAATTCCAAGCTTGATCCAAAGGCAACTGGACTGGTTCAAGAACTTCAACCAGTCCAGTTGCCTTTGGATCAAGCTTTGTAATTTGGTTGCTTCGCATTGCTTTTCTTTGCAATGTGTTGCACTGAAGTCAACTAAATCAATCAACTCCTGGGCTCAACCCCGCACCATCAAAGATAAAAACTAAAGTGAACAGGTGAGTTTGACGCATAATATCCCTACCTTTACCACCAAACCTCCAGGGAACACACCCACCACCAATACTAATAGAACAGTAAACAATTGACAACACGGTAAACAGAACTAAACAGAACTAAATGGTTTGAATATACTGTGATTCCTACTGGTTCATCTGAGTCTGGACCCTCAGAATGGATTTCAAAGCGTCGGAAGGTGACATAAAACAAAAACTTCACATCCGGGGCGACTCAGGCGCATCAGAGCAGCCAATGAGAAAACACTCACAAAAGAACGAGTACCTGCCTTCGTTGCTGCCGGGTTTGTCCTGTGCAACGAGGAGGGACCTCTGCACGGTTACTTGACGGTGCATTTGTTCAGATTTTTCTAAACCATCGAGACCGTCAATGTAAAAGTCCCAGACGCATAACAGTGGGATGTTCTGCTGCTGAACCGGCAACAGAAGCAAAAACGGTGTCACTGTGCGTGTGTGTCTGAGTGTGTGTGTTTGTGTAAGAAAGGCAGAGTGATGGTAGAGCTTTGTTACATCACAGCAGCAGAATCTCAAGATAACAGGACGTTTGCTTCAATGTGGAAAAGCTTCACAAATATGCAAAGTCACTGACGCCAACACCATAACCATGCACAAAAGATACTAATATCCCGACACCCAATTCCCATTTGATCACATGAAGAAGACAGAAAGCTTTCTAGAAACTTGGGTCTTCTTTGTGCACTTGAATTGAGTGTCTACCTTTTATTTAGCTCTAGCTGCAGCGTGCTAGTTCTGTACCAGAGCACAATCAGTTGCATGAAAAAATGACTGTATGCACCTCACATGACTCGAACCTAAGCCATGTTTCCAATCTCCAATATCTGAGTTTTGGAAATACAAACAGGAATGCACTTCTTCATTTGGTTTCTAAGTTCCTGCTGATCCGTCATTCCTGGAAGAACAAGGTCGAGAAGCCTTTTAAGTTCCTCGTTTATTTCCTGTTCGAAAGATGAAACTTCCAGCTTTCACCTGCCACCTTTCAACAGTCCGTGACCATTTGATATGAAAAGATCTCGGTTGGGGTTTCATTTTACAACACTGGGACAGCTTGGGTATCATGTGCATGGTTTTGCCCCCCTCTGCTCAGTCCTTCAACCCTCACCCCCCCTCACCCCCCCTCACCCCCCTCCCTCCTTCTCTCTCTCACCTCCCCCCCATTCCCTTGCTCCCTTCTTTTCACAGTATTGTCACCCTAGACGGTTCACACGGTCTCCTCTTCGCTGCGCTTCCGGTCATAAATCTCTGCAACACACCGTGAAGGCACATCCCCTCGGATGGATTTAACACACAACACCCTGCACCCCACCGGCCCGCTGAGAAAAGGGCGACAAGGGCTGGCACGCTGCTGCACACACACACACACACACACACACACACACACACACACACACACACACACACACACACACACACATTTACACACATGTAGACCAGATCCAACACTTTTCTGGGAGATATTTGTTGATGAAATCCAGAAAACGAGAGAGGAAGAGACTTAATCTAATAGAAGGAACAATAAAACGGCACATTGAGTATTTGGGGAAAGAGTGAGGAAAAAATCTGAGATGGTGATTGTTTTCTGCGTGTGTGTGTGTGTGTGTGTGTGTGTGTGTGTGTGTGTGTGTGTGTGTGTGTGTGTGCGTGTGTGTTATGGTTTGAGTTGGTCTCTGACTCATGGCACTTGTGGGGGGTTTTCAGTGACTCATGCGTTTCTCAGAACGGCTTAAGCTCTGTGGAATCCCACCGATAAGACAACCATTCTCGGCAAATTAGCCACTGTGTTTATTCGACATGTTCAGTGCTTCGGTAAAGCGCCACCTTCCCTCCCATCCATCCGCCGCCACCTTTCCAGTCTCTCCCCTCCTCCCCTCAGGTTCAAACTTCTCCGATGAATTTTAGCTTCCCCGTCTCGCAAATGAGCTGGCTATGTATGGGTGGCCCCAGTCTGCTGTACCACGGACGAGAAAAACTAAACCAGTGACAGCCTGTTTGTTTTTTTTACCTCACCAACAGCGCCCCACACCTACACACCCTCACCAAAACTACCGCCATCAAACAAGCGCCATACATACACTCCCCTGCCGCCACATCTACCGTGCCACACACACTCCCAGACCACATTCTTACCTCCCTACCCCCCACACTCTCCCACACCGCACACCCACAAACACACCTGACCGACTTCATTTCCTGTGAGGCATGAGTCAGCCGGCTGCAGAGCGTTTACCGGAGTTATACATGCTTATTAGCCATTCTGATAATATAGTGTTGATGTGGCTGTCAAGGCAACCTGAGCTGCACAAAAAAGGGGAATTGTGCTTGTGTGGGTGGGTGGGATGAGTCGCCGAGGATTCCTTGGAAGTGTTCAGGCATGTGGTGGGTCTATTTGCATGTCCACAGGTGTGTGTGTGTGTGTGTGTGTGTGTGTGTGTGTGTGTGTGTGTGTGTGTGTGTGTGTGTGTGTGTGTGTGTGTGTGTGTGTGTGTGTGTGTGTGTGTGTGTGTGTGTGTGAGAGAGAGAGAGAAAAGAGAGAGGGAAACAGCAAGGGGAGCCATTCACCTGTTTTTTCTTGTAGAAGCCCTTTCTGTCACAGTTGGGTATACGGAAGCCTCTCGGGTTGAGCACGTTGCTGATTTTCAGGCTGCTCAGGATGCTCTCCATCTCCCGCCGACACGGCCCCTAGCAACACGGCAAACACACACCCAACGACCCAAATATTACACACTCATCCTTACAGAGTCACAGACAAGAGGAACACGAGGAGTTATACGTTTATGATGATCATCAGAGGGTGTTAAAGTTAACTTCCTGAACCCTGAAAAGTGACATTTAAAAGTCTTTTGATAACTTCTTTCTGGAGTTGTTGTGGTCATAGATGTTGAAGGAGACTCCATCATTAACTCAGTGGTGATCGTGATAGCTCGGTCGTTAATGATTAGTCCATTAAGAGATGATGAAAGCGAACGCGGCTGTTATTTTCACAGCTGCAAAATCACAATGGTTTTCAAAAATGCATGCAATAAAACTGATTTAGAAACCTTTGAGATGTTTTACAGAATCTAAATGTTTTTCTGAATCTTGATCCCGCTGCAGATTAAAAAGGTTGATCTGAAGTTAGACGTCAGCTTTGTTGTAATTAGTACCTTCTTCTCTTACACAACACAGGCTCGCTGCATGTAATCAAAAACCATGTTGGTAAAGTGGTAACAGATACTTTAAAGACACCCTGTGGTTTGTTTTCCCCACAAATGACTCTGTGGATCGATGTTTTGATGAGACAATCAGCGTCCTGTTTGTATCTGGTGTTTTTCCTGCTTGTGCATGAGGCTCATTCATCCCACCCACCACAGGTTGACAGCCCTATGAACACCGGCATGACTGCACAGGCCGGGTCAGGACGTTCATGCAGTACCATGCAGAGCCACAAGTCTGCAGGGCTTGACTTCAACAAGTTCACTTAGCAGGTGAAATCAACGACGAGTTATTGCTCTTAAGTGTGAATCAGTGGGTGGAGTCTTGGATTGAAATAGAAAAAAAAAGGAAGCGTACTGATTTACTCTGGAGTTCAGGTGTTGCCCCTCTCTCTCTCTCTCTCACTCTCTCTTACCTGGTTTAATTGATCTCTTATCATCACTAATAAAAAGTGCATACTGCAGGTAGTTCGTAGGCACATGTGGTGATTATTTCTATCAACAGAGTTTGGTGGTGAATAACAGAGAAAATAAAGTACGTTTTATAGATTTTGAGTTTGCTTTTAAATCTTCATACAGGCACCTGATATATTTTTAAGAAAGCCTCTGGAAACCGTGCACCTGTCAATTAAAGGAGCAATATGCAGGAATTTGGGTTGGTGCGATTTGGCGCCCCCTAAAGGTATCTGCGTGCAACTGCACTGTCGTAAAACACATGAAGCTGTTACGCCTCCCTTTCTTAGGGGTTAATGTTAATGTCAATTTCAACTTCAGTTAAATATTAACGAGGGCTGTCGGCATGAACTAGTTAATGGTGATTAATTAAGGAATTAAATTAATTTTAATGGTGATTAATCGTATGCAATTTTGTCCCTTTTGGCTCACCGTAGATAGTCGTCCTCAGTGTCTCCCTGTAGTCACAGTGATGTAAAAGAAGGACAGCACTGCATCTTTGAATGTCTCATTTCACTTCAACAAACTCTCAGACGGCTCAGCTGACGAGTCCAAAGTAATATCCACCTTATGACATCACACATTGATCTTTGTTATCTTTCCTTTGAGCTGTTTGAAGTCAGTTTGTGATCCCTAACCACTTCCTGTTTCTGGGCTTAACTCATGTCCTAACCTTCCCTCTACCAGAGGGTCCTTTGTTTATTTCAAAATAAAAGCATGGTTAAATTCAAAAAGCAAGTAAAGTGCTTTCAACTTAAGACAGTACAAAATTTTAAAATAAAAGCCTCACAATTTTTATTTTTAAATGCAAAATAATGACATTTCAACAATGTTATTTATTGCGATCTCTAAGCTTTGGGCTAGTTTAAGTCATATTGTTTCGGCTTTATTTTTTGGCTTAGATTTTTCAGTCCACTGTGGGCGTAGTTTACAGACTTGAATGAGTCGCCAACTGTCTTTGCTGTAACTTGATCAGCAGGAAGATCGTTTTTATAGAGTCATGACTGTGTCAACTGTTTGGATGAACCCATACCATGACTGTTTTTCCTCCAAATAAGAACCCATCAACACTTTCAACAGACATGTAACTGCGTCTCATGTGACTTACATACTCAGTCTCCCTCTTGCTCTCCAGGGAGAAGTTGTGCATGTCCATATTGGCTCCTCCTGACACTGACTCCACCTTGTAGCTCTGAGTCTTCCTGTTCTGATCTTTCTGGATCAGTTTGTTGTGCAGCTGCGGCCTGGTGTCCACCGACCCTCGACTGTTCCCGCCCTTCACCGTCCCCACACCGGGAAGTACAGTCACCGTCGTCGTTCCATTGGCGCAGCATTCTTCTACCTGATTTTTGGCATTCTCTGCAAAGGGAAATGTCAATTATCAGTGAGGGTAGCATTCAATGTGTTTCTCCTGATTAAGAGATTCAGTGCTTTTTTCCACATAGTCCGTGCACCACTGTTTCGCTACATCTGACAGCACACGCCCAAACCCTCCTGGGACCGTTTTTGGAGCATCAGCTCAGGGGATCAGCTCATTTGCAGCTGGACTCACAGGAAAAATACAAGATCATATGGGAATAAAGAGAACAACATGCAAACAACATGTTGCTTTGTCTTTGCATGGTTGATCCGTTCTTCATTCGATGCCTGTATTGATATAATCTTGAAGTGATGGAATTTGCGATCGGGACTCTGAAACTGACTAGATGCTCTGTGCGTTACAGTGTCTGACTTCCTGTCTGGGTCAATCTGCTCTGCTCAGCTTTACGCATGCTTGCAGCGGGCTTCCTCTAAATAGATTCTAGCGCATATTTGAAACAGACAGCCTGCTTGTCAACAGGCAAGGCAGGCAACTGCTTGGGGCCCCAGACCAAGGGGGCCCAAGAGGTCTGACAAACTTTGAACCAAATCAGCAACCCAAAAGTTTTGCTATGACAGTAGGAATCCTCCCTAAAGGGCCCCATCTGACAGTATTCACTATCATTGCCCTGCTGAACTCTGGTGGGAGGGCCCCCGAATTAAAGGTGACAGACCTGGGTATGCACAGAGCATGTGGAAAGTGGCAGTAAGGCCAGATTGGTTAAATATTAAAGGGGTCATATTATGCTTTTTCTGGTTTTATGTGCTCTTTAGTGTGTTTTCCAAGTGTCCTGTGCATGTTTAGGCACATCTATGTGCAAAAATTCAAAGTACGCGGAAACGTAGCTTCTCCTACGTTCTCCTATTATCTGCATCATTAGCTGCATGTAACACTCGGTTCTAGCTCCTTTCGAAAAAAATTTGCCAGTGTGACGTCTTGTGACTGATCTAAGCCCATTGGCTCATTGTGGCAAGCCCAGCAGCTCATGTTGCACGGCCATTAACTTCTGTAGCACGCCCACGATATGCCGTAGCTTGCGGAAGCACAGTAGTGCTAAGGTGCTAATGTTTTTGCTCCCCTCGGAGCCAAAGTGGCTGCATTCCCAATATGGTAAAAGGGGCGTGACATTTCCGAGAACAGTGCTGAGCGACTGACCAATTACGGCAGAGCCGACCAATCAGATCGGACTTGGCACACGTGGGGACTCTGAGCGTGGGCACTTCAGAGTTTTAGAAAGAGAGTCAGAAGTGAGCCGGTGCATGGAGCGGCAGTTCATGAAAACATACTCTTTTTTCGAACTTTAGCTATTGTGAACATACTTTAGTAGGTACATAGATTAAATATACGAACCCCAAAAAGGGCATAATATGAGCTCTTTAAGACCTGGAGGCTGTTTAAATCCAGGTTACAGACTAATAAAACCTTCATTTCAATAACCAGATTCTCCACATCGAGTCTACCTCCAAACCAGCTCTCCATATCTACTCACATCTGTTAAATCTGGACTGCATGAAGGATGGAATTTTAAAGTCCTAACTTTTTAGAAACCCCTAGGCTTGTCTTTTAATAAACTCTGTAAATGAATCCAAATCACTGTAAATGAGGGTCGCCCCTCAATGATGTCTTGAGTTTAAATAAAGGTTTACATGAACACTTGATGAGGCCTTACATCACAGCAGCATGTTTCTGTTTCCACAAATAGAAAACGAAAGATATCCTGAAATGTGTCAAACTTTCTCTGAAGTCTGCAAAAGAATCTGACCATACTCAGTGTTTATTAAATTAGGTAAGGTCTCACATGGTCTACATACAGAAGATGAAGAACATTTGCCCTCTTTTCTTTTTTTTCAGAAGTAGAAAAAATATTTTCCACAACTCCTGACATTGTGTCCAAACAGTCTTTGAAGGGACTGAATCATATCTTGTGATTATTTTCAGCTGAGTTGAGTCCTTTTTTTCAGAACTGTGTGTGATACAAAACAGGCAATCTGCTCCTAAATATCATCATTTATTTTTCCATTAACTCTGCCCTGAGGCTAAGTATCAGAATCCCAGAGTTGTTTAGGTTTACAAGTCTGATCAAAACATTGTAATGCAGGATGATGAATGCCTGCATTACAAAAATTCTCCACCGTCTGAAGAGTGGCCTGTTTTAAAAGAGACAAAATAACGTACTCTTATTGCCTTGTGGGCTGTTTGGAGCCAGAGACCGAGCCAAGTAATAAACAGAAACATGAAGACCTCATATCCACAAATTTCCACAGCATGCAGACCAAGAAGATAGACCCACATAGAGGAACTGAGTGTAAACAAGACTTTTTAAGGACACCGTGAAGAAGAACATGTTTTGTACTTGTCTGTATTGGGGATTGGGACAAACCAGAGAGGAGGTCAGGGCAGAGAGAGGTAAAGTGGGAGATGAAGGAGCAGGAATATTAATAGCCCTCAGTGCTGGCAAAGATTCCTGTCAAATCGTTAAAGACAGACCATCTGACTGAGAGGAAGAGAGAGGGGGCAGCAAACACTCCACCCTGATATGGGAGAGGATTAAACCACCCGTCATGTGCCACCCGGTGAGCCACACTGCCACAAGGCCACAGTCTGAGACGTCCTGGAGGAGCAGAGGGACGATGATGGGAACACACACATACACACACACACCCAAACAGTTTTAAACTGTTAACTGGAAGCAGATTGGAGAGCTGCGGTGAAGGCGGCGGGCGAGCATGTACGGGTGTATCTCGTGTGGGCAGGCAGGCTGGCAGCCCACCCCTTTCTCCGTAATCAATTAGTGACGTGTTGGGGTTCCACAGTCTCTCCACAAACTTACAATAACAACAAACAACGTCAACAACAGCATCAACATGGCACGAGACGGAGTCGGGAGGCAACACATGCTCTTTAACCTGACGCAGCTTTCTCACGCTGTAACTGAACTCTGCAGGAAAAAAAAAAAGCCATAAATGTCAATAACCAGGGACAAATATGCGGAGCCCTTTTTAAGATTTCCTGCAAGCATTCATTTTTATTGTCAATATAAACTTTTATATAACCTTTCAAGGAAGTCTGGGGCGTTTGAGATCAACACATTACGCAATTTGTTTGTATAATGGCACATGGGTAAACAGCACAAACTGCGGTTGAGGGGAGCTTGTTAATGTCTGGGAGGAGAGGCTGCTGTTTTGGCTGCACTTAACACTGTGACCAGCAGGGGTGCTGTTGATCATTTCCCACCTTTTTATTCTTCATCTCCTTTAGTGGAGGTACTGCAAAGAAGCATGCATTCACACTAGTCTCATTGAAACAATGTCTCAAATCAGATTCTTCAAATTGTAAAAAAAAAAAACTAAAACATAAAAGGTCAGGAAAGGCAAAGAGAGAGAAAAACACAAGTAAAGTTAGGGGAACAGAAGAAAGTAAGATGAGTAGTTTCAGCAAGTGTCTGTTAGTAAATGCATAAGCCTGTGTGAGTTTGTGTGTGTTTCTGTGACAATATGACTGCTTAGTGCATGCACACCACACACACACATCACTGTGGCCAAACCAAATATCCTGGAAGAAGAAAACACACACAGAGGCTCCTGGAGGCCTGACGTCAGCGGTGCCTATAAGCACACAACAGTGTGTATTCACATGTAGGTGGCATGTGTGCTGTTTCATTAGTGTGAGCAGTATGCATCCATTCACACAAAACTGCATGCAGATATCAGGCCTCAGTGTGAGCAGGGATTACAGCATGACATTAAGATTTGGGTTTACTGATAAAGACTTGTGATTGTGTTGGGTGCTTGTAGAGAACTCAGAGAAAAGATGCCCCCCCCCCCAACCACCTCCCTGTCACACACTTGAGATGTTTTGGCCCACATCCTGGATGAGGGATGCAGCAGCACATATTTTCGTGCTGTGTACAAAAATCCCTGAGCTTTACTTGAAGGAAAATGAGGACAAGACAAGGACATGGTCTGCGCTCAGCCTCAGCTAAATACTGTATACTTACAGTATGTATGTGGCATTCCTTAACTATTGGTTTCAGGGAGCCAGGCGTGTGTGTGTGTGTGTGTGTGTGTGTGTGTGTGTGTGTGTGTGTGTGTGTGTGTGTGTGTGTGTGTGTGTGTGTGTGTGTGTGTGTGTGTGTGTGTGTGGGTGTGTGTTGTGTGTGTGTGTGTGTGTGTGGGTGTGTGTGTGTGTGTTGGGGAGAGAAGGAGATGGAGCAGTGTTGTACTTTCTTTTTTTTTTTTTTGAAAACAACTAATCTCCAAACCCCAGACGACATTCTTTTAATTTCTTAAATTTAATTTGCACTTTACGCATGACGTTCCAAAGCTGTGCGCACATGGAAAAAGTAGCTGCCTGGTGGGAAAGCAACGATTAATTGCTGCGTAAAGCTCCAGCCTATAGCTGGTGTTATCCACTTAAACTTTCAGGAGCCTATGGGATTTTTTTCGCCAACGCGAACACATCCCTGTGCAATGTCAAACCTCTCCTCGAATACCCTGGGGCGAGGAGCGGTGGCCACAGTGGGGGGGGAACCCCAAGAATAAATACTGCGCATGTTTCTGTGTGCCGTGTATGTTCAGTAGGTTATTCCAAGCATCTTAATCTCATCTATACAAACGCACTTGATCGGTGTTTCCATGAGCAGAAAGCTCCCCAGAGCTGGTCACTAAAAAGCAAAACCTCATGGGGAGAGCGCCTGTCACAACAACACTCACGAGAAAAATAACAACAATGTATGATAGAACACGAAAGCGCAATTATAAAACGCTTCTCACCTTGTTTTTGTGCGGGAATGAGAATGCTATTCAGCTTTTTGGACGCTGCGCTGGAGCACAGTCCCCGTCCTTCCAGCAGAGCTTGCAGGGGTCGGCTCTCCCCCGGCTGGTGCTGGCAGGTCAAGCCGGACCCACAGCGCGCAGTGTACACTCCACACGCCTGTCGCACACCGAGGGCGCACGTCATGCAGCAGCCGCAGCCCGGCTCCCTCACTCGCTCCGCGCAGTCCTTGGGCAGAGGCTTGCACTGGAGGAGCGCCCCGGCATCGCACGGCTCGCATCGGACCACCGGACTCACGGTGCCGGCGAGCCGGGTGAACGCAGCCAGCGCGGCGGCCAGACAAAGCACACAGAGACCGGGCATTCTGCCGATTGAGCTGGTCACAAAGGGACAGTATGTGAGTTGTCACGTAGGCTTAAGGGGACTCTCTGACACAGCGAGCCGGCTAGCCTTCTCCATCTGTATTTTCTTTTACGCGAACTTCTCGTTTTATACAGGCGGAAAAAAGAGCCAACAAGTCACACCCTCCTCCGTATGAATAATGTAAGCGGAGAGCCCCGATATGAGGACCACTACCTGCAGCCTGAGGAGAGAGCTGCTCTCACATTCAGCTACTGTAATCCGTTATAATAATTCAATGAGGGCTTGTTCATGCTCTCTTTGTGTTCTGAGAAAATACACAAAGGTGTTTGTCTCCATCCTGAAATGTGGCCTCCAGTCAAAACATAGAGGACAGGGGCTGCAGATGGCATGCAGCTTTAAAGTGTTGATTACCTTTCTGTTCACTTTCTGTCACATGAATCTTATTTGATTAGACAGATACGATGCACATGTAGATTCCTATAGCAGAGGGAATGGTGCATTTGAGTAACCAGGGTGTATTTCTTCTGTGTTGACTGTTTTTTAAACCTCTGGAGGTTTCCACACCACTGGCCACATCCCCTGCTGCCATCAGTGGTATGTGAGTGAATGCCATTGGTGTTACCCCCCACATGCAGTACTGATAAAGCATTCCTTTGGTCAGGTGCGTAGGTGGCCTCTATAATAACCCATTACAATAATAATTTCTTTGCATATAACCTGAGTGTATGTGGGACCACATGCTGAGTTCTGGGGGTTATTGCCTTTCTAGGTTGCAGAAGCTGCAGTTTGGATGTCAGTCAGAACCTCAGCCACAGCTACCAGGCACGTGCCGACCAGACTGCATACCTGACCCTTTTGCCCAAATAGCTTCAGAAGCGGTGCTCACCTTTCATGTAGGCTAAGCAGACATGGTGCCCTCCCCTATACCCCGATCAGTGGCAAGCATCCAGACCCCCTGCACCTTCCCTCCTGCATCCGTCCGCACTCGACCCCACAGGATCTCACAATTATTAGAACGAAAATGTTCAGATTCTGCGGGCTCAGCACCGCCCCCCTGTCCGGCATATCCTCCTGTTCTGCAATAACAAACGCGAGAGGGGGGTACACACTGAGAAAATAAAGCAATCAGTATCGGCCATTGTGTGATTTCCACCACAGAAGCAGAAAAAGTGTTGAGACTGCATTATGAAAAACAAGCAGAGAGTAAGGAAACACCGTCGGAGTAGCAAGAAAACATCTACGGCCAAGATTAGTTTTCTTATTACTTTACTCTTGGGCTGTAATGTTCTGCTCCTGACCTTTGGCTTGTTTATTATCTGCCCGTCCGTGCGTGGTCTGATTTACCTAAAGCGTCTTTACTGTTTAAACCAATTCAGCAAAAAGACTCTTGGGAAACTGTGCCCCCTTTGTGTGAATACAGTATAGTAAAGGCAGGATTGTTCATCCTGATGTGCTGCTATTGCAGTCTTTAGAAAATGTAAAAACAGCCTAAACAGCAGCCTTCAGGTTGATGATATTTGTACGGCTCAGACAAGATGCAATGCAGAAGAGATAGCATGAGGAGAAGATAAGCCAATCAGGGCATCTCATCTTGTTCTGCATGTACATCTGGATCCTCCAGATGTCAAGCTTGAAGAGTGAGAACAGAGCGTGTTGCAATTTGTCTGGGGACCGTTTGGATATGATGGAAGCAGATAACAATAGAATCAAACAACTTCTGGCAAAAACCTGCAAATCTCATTCCCTAAATCCTATGTTCAACGCATCTGTTACAGCCTCAGCAAACTCTAATAAGAGATAACATTTTTCTTTCTCGACGATCTTGTCTTCATCTTGCAAATCATCCGCAGGCGTCACGCAAACTGAAACTCTCTGGTTATTAATCCATCCTTCTTTACAGCATCGCAGGCAACATTCCTCTGCCTTGCATTCCCACAATGCAGCAAAACTTTAGGCCGTAAATCACTGATTGGAAACCAAAAGTCGATGACGGCCCTCAGTAACACTGGCACAATGCACTTTATAATTTGTGGTTTTGTGGGACTGAAAGGATCTGGACAGATTTATTTGTTTCCTTCCGCCATGTGATTGAGCAGCACATTTTCCTGCTGTCAACGTACGCCGCCTTCACATGTGAGCTCCACCATTGGCACGCGACGCACTAGCTGACCATGTCATGACCCACATATGACTTCATACTTAAAAGGGATACTTTACATGCTTCATGCCTTGGATCGTGTTGACGGCCCTTGTGTTTTATGTTCTTCCACTGGATGACACAAAGCTCTGCAGCAGGTCACAGTGTGCTAACATTGATATGATCATACTGACTAAAACATGTAGATTGGTGAACTTACATAAAATTACAACAAAACAGACTTCATTTTATTTTTTACAATTCCCATAAAGAACCCTAGTTTATCTGAAATCGTCAACATTTTTCATAACCTAACCAAGTAGTGTAGTTACCGTATGTTAAGGATCAATCAGAAGCCCTATTCAGACTGCAGTTTCATGGCATTATATTTGCGCCCCTGTGATGTTTCACCTTCAATATGAATGTTGCAGAGGAGTAATGGCGAGACGCAGTGATCACCCCTGCCACCTTTTGGGTCGTAACGGCCCTGACACACCAAGCAGACGGCAAAGAACTTGTGGCAATGAAGGCCTCTTGTCTTTGCCAAAAAGTTGCACTTGAACACACCGCAAAGACTACAGCCGACGGCCAACCACCACGTACGTTCTGCTCATGCATTAGAGAAAATAACTCTCCATGTCAGCAGGCAGCTGTAGTCCGCTGTTATGATACAAAAAGACAATTTTCACACCTGTGTGGGTCAACACTCATATTATAGGTAGCCTACTAATGGAGAATAATGTCTGATAAAAAGTTGAAAATGGCGCTGGCGTTGTCAGTCCTTGGTCTTTTAGTGGAAAAAGAAAAGAAGAGGTGGCGGATGAATGCATTTAGGCATAATGACTGCAAAGCTTCATTAGGGTGTTGTTGCAGAATTGCACTTTGAAATGGATACAAGGCCAACGAAAACAATATCACAATACAGCGATTCTACCATAAATGCTGTTTTGCAAGAGAATCAATAAACGACACTTCTCCATATCTGATTAACTGAAGAATATTAAATGCGATTTGGTGTCAGTTTCACCTCGTCTCAAGCTTCATTTCTTAACATTTCTTTGTACCAAGGATGATGCACTTCTCAGCAAGGAATGTGTTTTCTCAGACATTGCATCAACATTGATTCCTAAAAGAGAACTTACATTATGTTGGAGCGTTTGGTGGATTCCAACAGGCTGCCTCCTCCATAAAAGCCAGGTAAGTCCAACACACCATGACAACAAGGGTCTGGTAAGCTTCCATCTGTCAATGCTGACTTGCCGTGTCTCTTCTTCCCTTCTGGTTAATGCATTCAGCTCGGTCTGAATCTTTCTAATGTTAGTGATAACAACTGATACTCGTGCATTTAAGGGTCAGATTACACCTAAAGTGAGCAAGCCAAATCTGCTGAGTCTGCAGATAAAATGTATTTTAAGATCCGGTACAAAGACTGCATTGAATCAAACTAAACTAAATGACATGCTGAACATTTACTGGAGTAGAATTTTAGAGACAATGACAGATCTTGTGAGGACCATAAATGACCCTCACCCTGCAGGATACAAACAGTGCTTGCTGATTAGACTTGGGTTTGTGTTTGTGTACGGTTTACAAGAGGATACCTCCAGAGGGCAATACAGAGAGCTCACGCCTACCTGATGTAAGGGATGTTAACTACAAACATGGCAACACTTAGGTAGTTATGTTCATTTTTAAGATCTGAACGCACATAATAAACATCAATAATCAATACTTACATCAGATCAGCTGAGGCGACTGATGACTGGTGAACATCCAACACCATCAGTAAAGTCAGTATCCTGTTTCATTAACATTTTCCTGGCCCAGTGTATCGGTTATATGAGGGACCATGTTAACTGGTGACTTTAAGCAAAATGTGTACGTAGAAGTTGTCGTAACAGCCGCTTTAGAAAACAGAAAGGGTCCTCGGGAATTCGTCTTTGTCCAGTTAGGCATTGTAATTTTGAAATATACTCGAGTTATAAGTATTTAATGAAAAACTGAAATAATACAAATGCAGCCACAGACAAAGTCATATGTAAGTCCCCCAGTTTACAGGGTCACTCAAACCGAAACACCACATCTTGCGCCCTTTAGTTTTACAGGTTTCAACGTCGTCTTCTAAAAACAGAACCGATCTGTCCTCAGCTAGTTTGTGACTGACACATCGTGCAGATGTGGTTAATTGTGGACTTAGTTTATCAGTTTGTCTCATCAAACTTTCCACCAATGTCATCCCTGCTGCTGTGTTGACTCTGTCACATCCACTCTGCCTCGACGTTGCCCTAGCGGTCATGTATATACTGCATCTCGGGTCCCATTAATTTTTGAGGACCAGAAAAATATTCTCCTCATTAACCCTAACCCCCCGTAACCGATGAAATTGATTTTCACAGCAATACAAACTAGATCCAAGTTGTAATTGGCCGACGTGATCATAAAAAGTGTCAAGCTCCCAAAAAGTTATGAGGCCATGTATCCATGTAGGACAATGGATTCAAATCTGAAACACTTTTTTGTAATCGCTCCTAAAATAACAAGTGCTGTTTTTAAACGTTTCTAACTGGATCCAGAATGCTCCCAAATGGCCCGAGTTTTAGAAATAATCCTTTTAAGCGGCCGAACACAGACATTTCTCATCAAAATCACCAGTTTTTGCTCGATAATCGTCCTGTTAACACAGTCCAAATGTTTTCTAAGTAGTCAGCTTTGTCTTGCATTGCTTTCATTAAACAGCTCAGCCAGCACAGCTTTTTTTCTACACACAGTTGGGCTGCTTCCCTATCAAGAGAATGATTAAAATGTAATTTTGTTGAATGATGTTGACTGTGGCTCACGAGTTAAAAACATAAATAATGTGCGCTGCCAGTATCGTGTTGAGGAAAATAATTTGGAGCTCCTTAACTCAGCCGGGGTGCTGACAGCGAGGACAGGCCTCGTCCGTCATGGGGGGAACATGACGATCGACTAATGAAGCGGCATTCATTTCTGCCGCTTGAAAATTTGCAGCTGGAATGTTTTGGAGCCCTAAAA